CCTTGTCATTTTCCTTTTATTTTCTTAATGATTATATCATTGTTGGTACTATAAAGGGGTATAGTTTGATTTCCTGTGTAATTGGGCAGAGCAGTGTGATCTTCTTGCTGCCGGATGTATCGCGGGAAAGGTGAGTGTGAGAGAGATAAGAACTTCAACCCATCAAATTGTAACAAGAAGCTGATTGGTGCAAGGTTTTTCGCCAAGGACTATGAGGTTGCGTTTGGACAATTGTATAAGACTTAATAACAAATTAAATAAAAAATTCTACGTAATATAAGATGTATGCATATGTGTGCACCACGTCATCACAGTTACACGGCGTCAGTGATAACTTAACGGAGATGACTTAATTGGCTCATTTTTACAAGTTTATGAACCCGACTGAGACCGAAAAAAAAATGATGATCCACTTGAGATTGACACACAAATACGAAGACCAAACGAGGGTTTAAACCTTATTATATTTATGTTTGATTTTTTTCTACATGTAAAAAATAGAACTAACGTAGTTACATTATTAACTTGATAATGACACTACGTAATATTTACTTGACACATAAACAATTTTTTAAAATTAAGAAAAAAAATAAAAATTAATTAAAAACTAAAAACCTCCAATTGAAAGGAGATTGTTCATCATCTGTTAACAATTTATACAACATCGTGAAAATGAACCAAAATTGAATATAATTGACTAAAATAGGGATCACGTTAAACATTCGAAAAATAATGAATCCCACGATGAACAAAGTCAACAATAAAAAAGACAAAAGTATAGTTAAGCCTTCTAAAAATTATAATTTAAACTTAGTTAATATTTTCATAATTCTACTGAGTTGAATTTTCTAAAATCATACATTATTTATACTTTGATCTAAAAATTAATTATTATAAAATATTTATCTGAAATAAAAGATTACCAAAGAATAAGAATAGAATAGTCGTGTTCTCCTAAGTAATAAACACACGTTCTTTCAGGAAAATAAAACTCAATAAATATTTAAATAAGAACAAAATAAGTTCTACACGCTTCAAATATTATTAAAAAGCACCAATTTAAATATTTTAAGTTCTGGGGTAAGTATACCACAAATATATTAGAATAATAGAAACAAGTCATTGACTACTATGCATTTCCAAGCGAAAATCTAGGTCTAGTTTCTCTGCGTTTCTTTTCTTCTATATGATTTCTACGATCGCTCTCAATTTTCCGTGTCATCTTTCTCATCTAATCCTAATACCGTGATGGAGGATGTTGCTACTGCTTCTAGTGGTAAAATCATTCATAATTATAATTTCTTGTAGTTCTGTTTCACTTGTGCAATTTTTTCCCTCTTCAGTTAATGCTAGTGTGTTCAATTATGTAATGTTAAATTGTCACTTACACACTATATGGAGGAAAAACGATCGTGATTTGATTATGTTATGCATTAAATTTGTCCCATGATGTGAAACACTTGATTATGTAATTGGAGTTAACACTGTCTTCTTATAACATGCTGCTGCAGAGGATAGAGAAAACAAGTTCCTAACAATAGCAATTGAAGAAGCATATAAAGCAGTTGAAAGTGGCGATGGTCGTCCATTCGGCGCGGTTATTGTTCGAGATGATGAAATAGTTGCAAGCTGTCATAACATGGTTCTAAGAAACACTGATCCCAGTGCTCATGCTGAGATTACTGCTATAAGAGAGGTTTAGTTAACAATTGTTATAGTTTCCGTCTTGAATTTCACTGTTAAAAGGGCATCATGCATCTACAATATGTATTTTGCTGCTTCATTTCTCAAACCATATTAGCTTTTCTACTTAGAAATATAAGGTTTGCTTACAGTAAAGAAAGTGGAAGGGAGGGATAGATCGGTTCAGTTAACAAAATCTAACATTTGCCCATTAAACAAAATATATTACTTTTTCTACTTATTATGTTCGATATAATTAACCCATTTTGGATCTTATGATATCATGTGAAGGCTTGTCGAAAGCTGAATCAAGTTGAACTTGCTGACTGTGAGATTTATGCTTCTTGTGAGCCTTGTCCAATGTGCTATGGTGCAATTCTTTTTTCCAAATTCAAGGTGACCTCGCCACACTACTCATATTTTCCCTTCACCAAATGTTTGTCTAGTTTGTATGAAATTGGTCACAACACTTATTCTGCTCACACTGGTACAGAGAGTGGTTTACGCAGCTAGAGCAGAAGTTGCTGTGGCTCTTGGAGTTGGGAGTAACAGTGCTGATGCAATGAAGCACAGTAGCTTTTATGAGAAGGTGAACTTGGAGATCAAAAAGGCTGAAGGTAGTGTTGCTGTAATTGCGGAACAAGTATTTGAGAATACCAAACACAAGTTTGTTACGCCCTCAGTTGCTTAATCATGTCATCAAGTATGAACTCAAGTTACAGTTGTTCAATAAAACTTTAATTACAGTTACTATATTCATGTTCAAGTAACAAGGGTGAGTTTAAGTTCAATAAAACTTCAGTTTCTTACTATAACTATTTGGCTTTTGGTTTCAAGTTATGCTACTAGTTCAAAAGAAAAAGCATTCAAAGAAGTGTGGTAAATGATAGGAGTGTAAGGAAAAGAATGTAAATAGATGAGAAAAGATGTGTAAATTACTAAAACGAAGTTGTAAAGAATAGATAATTTTTGTATTCATGGTGGATGCCCCCTCTTCTACACCAGTTTCCCTTGTAAAGCAAAGCACAAACACAACCAACAACATTTCAAAATCACTTCATTTTAAATTTCCATTTTAAGCAAATCTTTTTCGATCATGACACGATTCGCCATGCCTAAGTTGCTCTTTTCAATTCAAGGTCAATTTTTAAAACACACACAACAGAAAATTATTATAATATTTAATTATTTGTTTTCGTTTTGATAAAAAGAATTCATAAAAATTGAATTAAATATACTTAAATTCATGAGAGAAATTAAATATAATTAAGGTTTAATACATTATTTGCTCTCTTTGGGGGTTTGGTTCAAACTGATCTCTTGAAAAAGTTCAGTAAGGTATCATATTTTGTTTAAAAATATTCAATAAGGTCTTTTTCACAGACGCTGTTAAAAACATATGCACCGTCATGTTTTTAACAAGACCTTATTGAACATTTTTAAACAAAATATGAAGTCTTACTGAACTTTTTCAAAAGATAGGATCAGTTTGAACCAAAATTCTAAAAGTAGGAACCAAATGATGTATTAAACCTATAATTAAAAATATATATATATATATATATATATATATA